AAAGCCACGCCCCACCCAAGCCACACACCCCGATCCACATCCATTTCCAAGATTATGCAACCTATGATTATACAATAAAAATGAGTGTTGTCATTTTGTTTAAATTCTGTTGAGTAATGAATGCAAGATGAGGGTATCTCTTACTTCAAGTGAAACGACGACAGCTTCTAGAAATTGTTTATTACCTTATTATGAATGACTTTTTCAATCACATTCACACCCCGCTATCCAGCCGAAAAGCTCCCCAAGTGGCTTATGTGGAGTTAATAAGGCAGCTCCTACCTACAGGCTCTCTAAAAACATAACATACAAGGGAAAAGGGACAGGGAGGGAAGAGGAAAAAAGGAAACTCGCATACTAATTACCACACTTGTAGAAACATATGTAGTTATATTTTCCCAAGAACAACAGTCTGGATTGGCAATCACTGTTTGGTTTCTTTTGACTTTTTCTCACCTCTACAACTTTGTGTGTGCATATGTGAGGGAAATCCTCCATGAGTCCAGAGTCCATAGTTTAGGGATTCCAGTTTCTCAAAATATCCAATAATCTTTTATTGTGCTCTCATTGGATCCACACTGAATCATGCATAAAGTAGATGTAAGAGGTACTTAAGGCTATCAGAAGTCGTGGCTAATTTTTCTCATCAATTCCAGGGAATATGCTCCAGTTATTATCCTTTTATTCCACTTTAGCCATGATTTCTCCCAAATAATTCTGGGGCTAAGAATCACTAGACAATGCTTATTTGCTCCACAGCAGAAATGGTTTATCACAGGAACTCTGGAAACTGTACCTCTCTGTGAGGAATAGGTGTCCGCTAATGACACTCAGTATCTTTGACAAATTACGGTCTCTGAATTCTTTGGGGAAGTAATGGCTGTTAAAGCGGAATAAAAGTGTTCCAAATGTGTGGTGTGAATGCAAGGAGGTTTTTGGAGCAGCAAAGGCAAGCTGACCACATGTTCCTGAGGAGCAGAGGCTGATCATGAGGAAAAGTGTCACAGAAAACACATGTGCATGCCTGGCAGGCCTCTCCAGATAGGGAGTTCCCAGGAATGGTTGGGAACTGGTGAAAAAAACATCCCTGTTCTTAACCTGTTAAATTCAGGACTCTGATACAGGACTCTGGCAGCTGCCAGCCACAAAACAGCAAAATTAAGTCTCTTGAGGGGTGCGGCAGGGAGGGGGAAGGAGAGTGACCCCGGCTTCAGGGATCCAGCCCCTCCCAAATAAGTGAGGGCACTCCAATCTCCCAAGGGACCCCTCCACTAAACCCTTCATATTATTTTGAGGGAAATTCCTTTCCAACCACAAACCTGGGATGAGATCCAACTCAAGCAATAGCAATCCTTTTCAGTGAAATATTTGCACTCTATCTGCTTCAGTCCTTAAATGAACTGTTACCCTCTGAGAAAGATACACTGGGAAATTATTTGTTCAACATCAAAGTGGTCCTCTTAGCTATTAGAATTCAAAATGGATGCTTTCAGATGACATTTTAATGTGACGTCTCACTGCTGCATTCACACAATTGTACAGAGGTCCATCTTCCAACTGTAACCCTCCTGTTTTTTCCTGCTATTCCTTCTATCTTTTTCTCCCCACCACCCCATCTATTAAGGAAGAAAAGAATGAGTTGTATGTCATGCTATGGAATGGCTAATTGCAGGGTGGCTTAGAATGATGTCCTACCCAACACAGCTTTTTTGTTATGGGTGAACTTTTTGCAAGCAAGCAAGCCACCCTCAGGGCCCATGGCTTGTAACAGGGCTCTTTGGATGGCTTGTTCTCAGAATGGCTTGTTGGGACATCTGAAATTGAGCAGTCATTTCAGCCTGGCTTGTTTAAAACAGTGCAAGAACTGCTTGGCAAGTGCATCAAAAAAAGCCTGCTGACCACATCTCATGAACTTGCTGGTGCCAGTGCCTCCACTGCTGTCAGTGCTCTCTGTCCCCATTGAAATACGGCAGTGCCCCATCAAGTCTTCAGTCCGCACTTTTTTCCCTCTTTGGTCCTTAAAAAGTGTACAAAAGACTAGGTGTTTCTGCCCACACCTTCAGTCCTATGCAAGTGTGCACATATACAGAACTGCAGCAAGGTGTATTCTCCTACTGCATTCTCCAGCTTCATTGATTGTCAGACTGGCCAAGTTGAAATAAGCTCCACATATTCCCACAGTAATTATACCCACAGCAAAACTCCCATATTTTTCTACCATCCTGTTCCAAGAGCATCATCAAAGTAAGTGCCAAAGTGGAGGAGGAATTTAACAGCTGGTCTTTCAGCATGGTGTGAGAGAAGGAATTTTCTGAGTGGCATTTCTCAGTGTGCAGAAGGCATATTGATGTGCTTGAATAGTGTACTAGCTGCTCTCATACTGGCACAAGAATGTAAACTGCACTCCTATGATAGTGTGCACTTGCTGAGAACCAAAGAAAAAACAATGGGAAAAAAGTGAACTCATTGCACAAATTGGACAGGCCAAAAGATGTGCCAAGGTTAAAATTGCTCAGGTAGGAGTAGCAATCAGAGTTGAATGTGGGTGGTTTCCTTCTATAGGGAACGTGAAGTGCCAAATGTTGTGCGTTGCAACTTGTAGACTTGGCAGCTATGTGGTGATGTGGGGGAGCTCTTGGCTGTTGGGAATACAAGGAACTAAAAGGGACTATGCTGCAAAGGAATCTGGGATGTGTGTCTGGAGAGAGTGGAAAGGCTGAAAGGAAAAGAGACCACACCAAAGCACCATGGGCCCAACTGTCTGCTTGGAATAACACTGGTTGCTTTTTGAGCAACCAGCCCACAGTGGCTTATTCTCCCCACCATGGCTTAGACTCAGGGGGACTTAGAAAATAACCCAATAATAGCATAGTATCTTTTCATCCATAGTGCCAGGGGCTGTCTTGAAGAACTCAAGTTTCACTGGTTAGGCTTCAACTGAAATTTGAATTGTTAATCAATTCTTGTTCTCTCATCTTGTGAACCATACCACCACCAAAATGATTCCATGAGGATGGGCGCTCTGAAGATTTTGGAGGAATGCCCAGGAGGATTAAAATTATCATTCACATGCATTTTTGAAAAATATCAGGTTTTTGTCAGTTTATTCTTTCCCTGAAGCATAGCCCTGGGGACCCACTTGGGACTGCTGATGGGAAGATATTAAGTACCCAACATTTTTAGAAAAAGAGGTCTCGTAGAAATGTGGTGGTGGTAAGTCCTTTCTGTGCCAGTGTTGATTAATGGGCACCCCTGGCACTCTGGTCCTTTGCTACTACAGTAGAACAGAAGAGTCTGTCCTAAAACCAAATCAAGACTCTCTCTAGTCCAGCTTCATGCTTCCAGTTGTGGCTAGCTGAATATCTCTGGGAAGCATGTAAGCAAAGCCTAAAGGCAACAAGTCCTGTTCAATTGTTTAGCACACCTCACTTCTGAATGCAAACGCGTTCTGTTCTGTGAAGTCCTTTTAATAGGCCTTTCCACCATGAAACTGCCCAAGCCTGCTTCAGACTTATCTAGATTGGGGCCCCTCACCCCATCTTGTGGAAGTGAATGAATCTTCTTTTATCTTTCCTGATTCTACTGCCCAATCGTCCAAGCTGGTGAAGAAGGTGTTATTACTTGGTTTTGGTTTTTAATTGAGGCAGCTCCCTGTATGCCATCACCAGACAACTCACTGACTCTCTGGACGGAGGTCATTCACCAGAACAGGTTTGATGACTTACAGCACTTTCTGTCAAGAGCTATGGGAGATTAGCAAGACGGTTGTTTCTTATGGCCCACTTTGGTTATAGTAGTTGTTTCCTAGAAATGACTTCTGCAATGCAAATTGTCCACTGTGTTAAGGAAATAAATTTAGGAATGCCTGTCTCAGCTACTTCCAATTTGTGTCATGAATTTGGATCAGAAGAGAGGTGATTATAATGCTTGCCTTGGCAATATACTTAGCACTAAATTTGCATCATGACTGACAGCCATTTGCATGAGAGTACATAAGCAGTCACTGGGCTTTCCCATATCTGGTACTGTCTGTGTGGCCATCCTTTAAAATAGGCCTGAAATTGCCTCCCCTAAATAACTATGACAACCCCTCTCCCCCATCAAAGCCCTCCTTGAAGGGCTTTTCTCTCTCCCAGCATACACAGAATTGCACCCTTGATCCGTGAAGCAAGAATTGAAGGTGTGTGGCCCTCCAGATGTAGGTCTGCAACTTCCACCATCCCTCATCATTGGTGCAGTTGATGGGAATTGTAGTCCATCCATATCTGAAAGCCCACACATCGCCCTGTTGTAGGTTGTGCACATTAATGGCTGTAATACTGGTCTTTTGACAGGAAGAAGCAGGTCTTCTTCTTTTACTCTTACTCTCCGATGAAAAAGAGTATCGTTCTTTTCCGGGCGCCTCCAAAGGGTTCCCAAAATACATCGGCAGGCCAGAGCTACGGCGGACCAGGACAGCAAGAGCACAGGAGAGCCAGCAAGGGCAAGGTGGCGCGGGGGACAGGCTTTCCCCATTTACCACCCCCGCCACTCCGCGCAGGGTTAACCTTTCCCTCCCTGCAGCGCTGCTGCGCCTTTCCCTCCCCCGCCTTCTGCTACGCTCGTTCCCTGCCATTGGCTGCGCCTGTGAGTTTAGGCTAGAAAGCTCTGTAATTAGGTCCCCGGCGGATACAGATCCCGTTTCCTGGGCAAGCAGTTTAGAAAAACAGAAAGGAAAAGGGAAAAGTCCTGACGACGACAGCAACGCTCCCCCCCCCCCCCGCGACCAGTCCGCGACCTCCGCAGGGCTGCTTCGGCTTCGCATCGCGGCGCAAACTTTCCATCCCGGGCTGCGCGGCGGCTGTTGTTGCCAAGGCAGGTGGAGCGGAGCCGGGCAGGGTGCGGGCTGAGGGAGCCTGTTGCGGCCGCGGCTCCGGGGCAGGCAGCGCCACGCAGGGGCGGAGGGGAGCGCGCCGCGTCCGCGTCCTTGGCTGCCGCCTCTTGGCAAGCGGCGCGGGCGTCGAGTTTCTGAGCGTCGCAGCAGACGCGGAAGGCAGGCGTGCCGGCGGCCAGCAGGTAAGCGATCCGGCTGCGCGGGCGTCTTTTCGCGGCGAGGTGCGAGCGCGGCCTCCAGGGGGCGGCTCGCCCCCCGTCGCGAAGGCTGTGGGGAGCCCTGGGCCACGGAGCGGCTTTGCTCAGCGAAGGACCTGGCGAGGGGAGCGGGCAGGGGGAGGCGGTGATGCGCCATCTGTCCTCTGAAATGCCGTTGAGCTCCTTGTTCCGCCCAAACTACCAAAGCAGGGGTCGGAAACGCCAAAATGTGGCGTGATCCGGCGCCATTCAAATCAATACGAATTTCAACTTGTTGACTTGGACGTAATGTGGATTGCACGAGCCACCCGGAGGTTGTTGTGTCTGGAACGAAAGAAACGCCGTCTGGGGTAACTGGGATAATCCTTTAAAAATAGGGGACACCTGGCCTCCTTTTGTATGCTGCAGAGACGATTTTTCTCCCTAATTTATTTTTAGTTTCACTTCACGGTCTATGTAAACTGCAGTCCTGACTTACGTGGGAGTAAGACCTATTGAACTCAGTGGGACTTGCTCTGAGGCACATGGGTATAGGATTGCAGTTTGGAATAGCATTGCCTAAAGGCTCGATGCTATGCATATTCAGACAAAAAAGGCCTTTTCCTATCGACCTATGCATAGGATTGCACCTTTAGACAGCAATCCTGTACCAGTTACCTGGAATAAGTTTCATTGAGTTGAGACTTGCTTTTGAGTAAACATGCATATCGATATTATTGTATCAAAAATCTCTCATTGATTTTAATGGGGATGACAAGCTGTCGTCCTGCTGACATTAAATCATTTACTGAGAGTGAGTGTGTACTTTGGAGGTGTAAAATATTCATGCTTTCTGTCTTGATCCTTACTGGAAACAGAACCACATTGTGATAATTTAAAGAAAAGATAAACATTTTTCCTCTGTAGAAATGCAAGAACATTCACAATCATTCCCCCCTTTTGTTGTTTAATATGATACAACTTTACTACATGGATATAACTTCCAGGAAATAGTATACGCAGCATTATGTGTGCCTGTCCAGAAACCTGCTGCCATTTGGAACTTTTGTGGCATATACCTGAAACAAAATGTATATATCCATGATAGGTGATGGCAAATGTCATATTTTACATACAAAGCCATTTGGAGGCATGCTGATGTTCCATATAGCAGCACCGCATGGTTCAAAAGATTTACCCCAGGAACAGACCCCTTGCAGTATGAAGACAGAAACATAGGAACAGAGCGAGTCAGAAGGGTCTCCCAGGCCATCTAGTCTGACCCCTGGTTCTAGCTGGCTCCACTCATGACATGCCCACCATGTGCATGTCCAGCCTATCCTTGAACACCCTCATTGATGGGGCTTCAAGCACCTCCCATGGAAGCCCATTCGATGCCCTTGGGGTCCTAACTGTCAGGAAGTACTTCCTGGCATCCAAATTGAACCTTGGTTCTGAGTTTTGCTCTACTGGAACACATCCTGCCCTCCTCTGCAGGGGAAAACAGGTCTCTACCCACCTCCATGTGACACCCTTTCACATATGTATATGATGGGAAACATCTTTTGGGTTGCAGGCTACTTAACAGGTGACTGTGAACTATTGCTGTCCTAGAACGCACTCAGGTTATTCGCACATCTGTTACCTTTGTTTATGCTTGGAGGACATATGATCTTCTGTATGGAACTTATATCAACACAGAAATCTGCACTTTGTGAAATGTATCCTTAGTAAAGACCATTTCCAAAGATGACGATGTGGCCTTTTACTTCTTAGACTGCTTACGTTCTCCTACAAACACAGGTCAAATGAGGTCTGGAAAAAACATACAGAACTGACTGGTGCATGTAAAAGTTCAGCTCTTATTTGATTTCTGAGGCCTGGTAAGCCTTGTGACTATTTTGCTGAGTGGAGATAATAATGGGCACAATTAGGGCTGTGTTTTATCATGTGATCCTTCCCAATCTGCAGGCTGATTGGACTTGAATGGAGAGTTGTCCATTAGTCACAGGTTCACTTGCTGGTGCGATCATGACAATAGTTGGGGTACTTGCTAGGTTTTCCTGTGCTGCACAGAATAATTTCTGATCCTTGACCAAGGGCCACACCTGGCCCTTCCTTAGGTAACAAGGGGTGATATATCTTTAGTTTCAGGTCTCCTGGAAGTCAGATATGAGAAGACATAATTTAAGAGAAAGGGTTTTAGTGCTGATTGGAGAGAGAATCTCTGAGCATGTGCATAATGACTCACTGAAAGGGAAAATCCTTCTGTCCATGCTCAAGGATGTGCTTTCTCAAATGATTCACATATTCCCAGGTTGAACCCCTTGGCAAAGAAGGTAGAGTTGGAAACTTGCTTCTGAGTACACATGCTTGGAATAGGACAACAGCAACACTTTTAAGGGCTGAGAGCAACCTTTAGACTCTAGGTGGGGTAAAGGTAAAGGTAAAGATTTCCCCTTGACATTAAGTCCAGTCATGCCTGACTCTAGGAGGTGGTGCTCATCTCCGTTTCCTAGCCAAGGGAGCCAGCGTTTGTCTACAGACAGTCTCTGTGGTCACGTGGCCGGCATGACTAAACACCGAAGGGCATGGAATGCTGTTACCTGCCCACCAAAGTGGTACCTTTTTATCTACTTGCATTTGCATGCTTTCGAACTGCAAGGTTGGCAGGAGCTGGGACGGAGCAACGGGGACTCACCCCGTTGTGCAGATTCGAACCGGCAACCTTTCGATCAACCAGCCCAGCAGAACAGCAGTTTAAACCACTGCGCCACCTGCAGTCCTCTAGGTGGGGTATATGTATGGAATTTAAAATACCATGTTCCTCAAAAGTCTCGGCAAATCAAAGAAAACCAGAGTATCCCTTTCTCTGATGGGCTATTTTAATACATTTATGGATGTTTTTGAGAAGGAAGGACTCACTGGAGAAGACCCTAATGCTGGGAACAATAGATGGCAAAAGAAGAAGGGGCAGCCGAGAATGAGGTGGCTGGATGGAGTCATTGAAGCAGTCGGTGTGAACTGTAAGTGGACTCCGGGAGATGGTGGAGGACAGGAAGGTCTGAAGGAATGTTGTCCATGGGGTCACGATGGGTCAGATGCGACTTCACAACTAACAACAACAAAATGGACATTTTTATATGGGAAAGCATTTTTTAAAATTACAGCCCACTTTCCTTCAGTGTGGAGTGCTACAGTCCCAGGAAGACATGCCAGCGTGATTTTGTTGAACATGTCGACATCAATTATACTTTCAGACATTGCATAGGCTCTGAGCCTAGCATAGGCTCGTCTTTCCAACGGCGCTTCCTGGAAGTGTTGGACCACAGCTCCATCTAGCATGGACATGAGATGTGGTCCATCACATCTGGAGGCACCTAGCTGGAGAAAACTACGATCAAAAGTTGTCGCTATAGCTTAGTTAGCCTAAATGGGTGGAAGGAGCATGACCTCTGGATGTTGGTGAACTACAACTCCTAGTCAGCACAGCCATGATGTTCTCTATCCAGCATGTTCTCTATCCCTGCCCTAAGCAATAAATAATCTGAATCCACACAAGCAAAGAATCCCATGTTGTTTCAACCCTATCACAAGCTATCCATTGGTTAATAAAAAGGTCAATATTTACCCCTGTAACTGTGAACTCCCCAAAGAGATAATTCTGTTTTGTTTTCGTCACTGGTGGTGGCGAAAAAGAATCAAAAGCTCTTTGTGTTGCTGAGAGTGGCTTGCTTTCTTTCATCGAAATGTTTCATCTTTCATTTGATCTACTGCCTAAATATATGTCCAAAACAGACTCTGAAGAGAAGTCAAGGGTTGTTATCATAGGATAACTGCTTGTATAGAAAGGTGTATTGAGGTCCTCACTTTTCTCACAGTGGCTGCCACTTTGAGATATCATGTTAATTTTGAGTATGCTTCCCCCATCTTTTTTGTTCTGCCCACAATTTAATTTACAGAAAACATCTCAGGGAGACAGAAGTGTGTTAGGGTTTGTCTGCACTGCCACCTAAACCTGTTTAGACTAGGTGCGCTATCAGCTGTCACAGGTCATTGTGCAAAGATTTGGAGCAGTGCTCCAAGTTTTTATTTTTAATTGTAGACATAATTGTTTCTGATATATACAAATCTTTTCCATTTGCCCCGGGGGAAATTTGTTCCTCTTTGAAGAGGTACAATTTGGCATGGGATGAGACTCTGCTGATACCACACCCAGGCTGATTACAGCTGTAACAGTGCGGATCTTTTCAGGAGGGGTTGAATGCTGCACTGCAAGTCAAATGCAGGTCAGGGTAGAAATTAACCTTCACTTTCCGCGCACTGTGACTGGAAGCAGTCATGGCAGTAGGAGTAGAGACGGAAAAAAGACACAGCAGGTTGCAGGTCTGATGCCCCATTGGGCATTCTGGATGTTTGTGCTGAAAAGGATTATGGGTATGAAATAATGCCTGATGTCCACTTCGTTCATAAATACAGCCTGCAGTTTTCCCTCTTACTTTCTATTTCTTTCAACCCCAAGCATTTCAAGTGTCAAACATTGGTCCATCTAGCCCAGATTTAGATCATCAAAGATTAGTGTGATCACGTCTGCCATTTTTGCTGCATAAAGCTTCATGATGGCTTGGCTGCTTGTCAAGAAAGGGCCAGTGTCTTTCATCATGCTACAGACTGGGAGGTACAAATGTTATGTTCTAGTGGGTGGGAGTGGCATGGTATATGTGCAGAAGAAGCAGTATTACCATAAGGCTTTCTAACCAAGAGAAAGCTAGATTTTCTGGCTGCCTTACATGGATAATTTATAGCTGGGCTGGACAGAAAACAGATCTCCAGGTTTTCTAAGACTTCCTTTCCCAGTATTCCTGACTATTGGCACTTACCCCTGATCTCTACATTTTTCACAGTGTGCCCCGTAACCTCTTCCTGCTTTATTCTGCATCATGTTTTTGAGAACCTGTGCTGAACTGCATCATTTTTGCAAGAAATACCCAATGAGTCTGTAAACA